ATCGCCTCCACAACGATCTCCAACTCCTACACCGGCCCCACCGCCCCTAACGATCTCTAACGCCCCACGGTCTCCACCAACACCGCCTCATCGCTTCCACGCCGGTCTCCAACACCGCCCCCCCCTCCACAAATGACGCACTACAAAGACGCGTCTAAGGTCCCGTGGCAAAGAAGACCCCGAGAAAAGAGTTATTTCTCAAGAAATACTTCCTAAAAAGACCTGATGAGCAAATAGCAATTTGAAGAAGACAAAAAAAAAGTGAAAGATTTTTTATAGATATAAAAACAAGAGTCAAGCGAAGCTTAAGGAGAAACCGTACTTTTACATACCACGAGATGTGTTGAGGCAGAAGGTCGATGCTCACAAGAAAAAGATGATTGAACTTCGTAAGCCTTCGCCACTATCAGACTATGACCGCTCCCTCGTGAAGTCACATGATGCGAGATAAGAAAAGGAAAAGAGCATCGAGGAAGGATGTCCCATGACTCGGACAATGAAGCAACCAATGCAAAATCTTGTTGTTGCTAATCAATATGGTTCCAACATAGAAGTCTATCGACGGACAACTCAAGAAGTGTCGGTTCAAGCCCTTAATGCTTTTTTTTCAAGATCTTTGGTTTAACCTTGGATCAATTGATTGGCAAAGCTCCAATCCGTAACACGGAAGTTGATACCTGGAAGACTTATAAATATGGCAAAAGTCTGTACAACACTGCGGCTCTGAATGAATTGGGTACGCAAATGTACTTGCTCAACAAGTGGTACATGTAGGCGTGTGGCAGGGGTGAGCATTGGATCTTTGTCAGATTTAGAGACCATCATTACTTCCGTGGCGATGACATCTTACATATTAGTTTCGAAGAATTGCATCAACTATACCACATGGACGCTCTGGACAAATCAATCATTAGCTCCTTTTGTTTGTAAGTGATTCTTACTTTTATTTAATAAACTCACTTCCATGCGTACGTGTATATAGTTATCCTCACATGTAACTTATATTTATATACAGATTCCAGATGTCAGAGCTCCAAAGAATACAAAACAGCAGTGTTGGCTTCATTGATCCTTATATCGTATTCAAAACCGGTATTATTGTCAAGGAGCGATGGGTATCTGAAGCACAGGAGAATATCATGATGTTCTTCGTGAAGCAGCACGACAAGACAACAATACTTTTCCCGTACAACTTTGAGTAAGTGTTAATAATAATGTAGTCTACACATTTTATGTAATATCAATACAACTTATATGCATGTACGTGTGTGTATAAACCAATGCAGTTTTCATTGGATACTCATTGTTATTGAGTTAAACTCAAGTCGGTTACTAATCTTTGACTCGTTGAGAAAAGAACGGGCACTATACCAAGATATGATATACATTATCCAGGGGTAATTTCAATCTCACGCGCACAACTATTATTGAATAGACTTTGCCATAATTTATTAACGATCGTACATTATTGGTCGCACAGGGTTTGGAAAGAGTTTATTCGGCAACATCGCAAGGATTACAAGGCACCACTTAATGTAGTTGAAATACCAGTAAGTTGTACTATATACACTTCCCCACGTGTTTAATTACTATATCGTACTTCAATTTACGTGTGAGATGATGAGAATAATCTTCTTCTCATACAGTGATGTTTGCGGCAGGAACCAGGTAATAACTTGTGTGGATACTACGTTTGTGAATTTATCACTGCGCACATAAGAAGAACTCCTAAAGATGTCCTCAGAGTACGTATATATCAATTTTTATTTATTTTTAAATGAATATATATATATATGTGTGTATTAATACTTTTCCTTTTATTTTAAATGCAAGACTGAATGGTTGAAACGAAGGGTCATGCAAAAAGACCATCTGAAAGCAGTTCAAGAGTCAATAGCAGGATATCTTCTAGAAAAAGTGCTAAATCCCAACGGCGAGTTCTACTTTGATCCTAAGGAATAAATGATGTAAATTAAATGTTTATTGATATCGTTATTTTCGAGAACAAGATTATGAAAGTGTTGTATATATACATATATATATATATATATAATATATATAGTTTCATACTTTATTCGAATATAATAATGCTCAAGATGAGAATTAGATGTAATTATACGCATGCGTGTATTTATATTAGCAGCGTAGAATACGTACATAAAAACATATTATATATTAAACAAATACGTGTAACTGAACTAAAAACAAATTAAACAAAAAAAAGAAAAAGAAAAGGAACCTTTAGTCCCGGTTGGGGTTACCAACCGGGACTAAAGGGTGCGCCAGGTTTGCTCGGCTGGAGGGCCTTTAGTCCCGGTTGACCAACCGGGACTAAAGGTCCCTCTTTAGTCCCGGCTCGATGACCCGGGACTGAAGGTTCCACCTTTAGTCCCGGGATCGTTGTCCCGGCGCGGTAACCGGGACTAAAGGCTGTTACCGCCCGGGACAACAAGTCCATTCTGTAGTAGTGCTACAATAATCATTTGTAGGGGTGGCTAAAGATCGTTTATAGAGGCGGCTCAGCCAGCTGCTCCTACCATACCGTCTCTACAAATCATGCATTTGTAGGGCGGTTCCCAGACCGCCCTTACAAATCGATTTGTAGGGGCGGCTGATAACACCAGCCGCCCACCAGCCGCCTCTACAAATTGATTTGTAGGGACGGCTACAGTACCAACCGCCCCTACAGTACATTTTTCCGCAAAAAAAATTCAAATTTACAATTCAAATTTGACCAGAACATGTATTTTTCATGCACAACTCCATCATGACTTATCTTCTTCTGCGATTGTACTGAAACTCAAATCTCTACAATATGAGTATTGGTCCAACTACAATGAACATATTACTTAATGCTGACTTGTTAGATGAGGAACTCTACAACATGAGTATTGGTCCGATTGACCATAAAATGCTATCATGCTGCCTAGATAGCTAAAGATGTTAATAGCTAAACAACAATGCAAAGAATCATATGCCAAGTCCCCATACTCGCATATTGCAAGAGTCTTCATAACAACAAGATCGTAGTTGTCCAGGTAGGGCACAAAAACAATGTCCCCAAAAAATTCAGCTTCCTTCTTCAGCTCCACATTCACTTCCTTTCTGCCACGCTAGAGTTAAGAAACACCTTCAGCACAAGCACACAAAACAAATGAAGTAAGCTAAGCATTTGGGATTACATTGAAGTGTTTACCAGTGCAACGAAAAAACGAGCCACCCTGTTTGGTGACTTGAGGACAACAGACATCCATGTCTTCCTCACACCCATACGCTCAGCAAAATGATTGGCTGATGACAGGATGCCAATGAAAATATCAACTGGCTCATCAGACCTGCACAAACCCCTGCAAGGGCCACAACAAACATAAATTAACTGGAGAAGTAGAGGCCAAGTACCATACCGATAATCTCAACTGTCCCCAACCACTAATTATTTAAACTAACTGCAATAGATAGTGCACGGCAATTAACAAGCATTCCCCAACATTTCTTACTGCATGAAGTGGGGAAACATATGCACTTACAGTGCGGTAAGGAAACGAAGTGAAATTACAATAGGCATCAGATCCTATGATAAACAGACCACTGAGTTGTGCATTCTCAGCTGGCACAGAGGTCAGAGATTACCTCTATTATCTAAAAATAAGGTCACTCTTGGTCATGGTAGGAGCCAAATTATCGTTGGTAGGCACGACAGAAAGCACTTATGAATATATAAAACTTGGCAACTAGCCCACAAGTTAATTTAATGTCATGCACCAGATCGTCAAGGCCAAACTAATTTCATAGGCAGTGTATTTGTTTTCTTTTGGATGGCATGAAGAAATCATTGTCATTCAATGGGGTCAACACGCACATGCACATGATCGGAAATGTCCTTGTTCAGCAAAACTAAGATTTGACAAAATTAATCCGATCGGAAATCACCTGAATGCACCAGATTTGGCATGCATGCCATGCTGAAACCCTTAATTCCAACTAACATGAAGCGGCAAGCAAAACCATTCTAGCATTTGTTCTAATCTGACAGTACTGAAACTAGTCTGAAAGAATGAGTAGGAGGAGTTTCAGGTTTAACCACATCAAGTCCAGAGTACAGAGATTAAAAATTTTCAATTTTTCACCACTTGTTTGATCATAGTAGATATCAGATGAAGTGAAAGAGATATACAAGCAAAAGCTGAAACACTACCTAGAATCTTCCCTTCAACTATTGCAAGACTGAGCACCAATCAAATTGGGAGATTCCTGATTGGAGGAAGACAGAAGCAAAACGCCAACTACAGAATTTACAAACAGACCCTACTAACAGTACATGAATGAATAGGATGATGTTTTTACAAGACCTAGACCCTACTGTGATATATCAGTAGCTGCAATACTCATTAGAGGTTGACAAACCAAACCATGTAACCTTAATCACAACAATTTATGCAGAGTTTATTCATGCAAGTACAAAGTAAACAGAGTTAGCCCACAGAGGAGATCATCATGGTAATCCATCATTTGTTCTTTACACAACCTTTTTCTTGAGTTTATTATTATACATATATGTTTTTGCATGATAAATAAATGCTGTGAAGTATTCAAAGTAAAAAGGATGAACTGTTAAAACTAACATATTTCTGGGGTTTGGCATGAACTGTTAAAACTAACAGCAAGCTAAATAATAGCAGTATAAATCAATAGGTGAAAGTACAAGAGAAAGCAATCCAGTTTGATTGGCAAGCCTGTATTATTTGGAACTCATTACAACAACACGTGAAATAATAGCAGTATAGATTTATACACTTAAAATTGGTAAGCATACTACATTTATACACTTAAAACTTGCAATTAGATCAGATCCAATTACAGATAGCCAAATAGTTTAGTCGTACGGCATACCTAGGTGCTCCTGCAAATGTACGGCGCTGGATGCTCCTGCTCGACTCGGTCGAATGCGCTGGGCGTTGGACGACAGTGCCGCCTGGACGAGCGACCGGCCACGGGTGTCCATGACAAGCGCTGCTCAGGTGAGCTCCCACGGCACTAGAGCGCTCGGCGCTCGTAGTATTGCCTCCCCGCGACCCGCATCGAGCTCATCCTCGCCGCCGCACCCGCTTGCCAGATCCAGGCTCGTCCTCGCCAGATTAGGCTTCTCCTCGCCGGATCTGGTGGTGGCCACTCGGATCTGGGCTGGTCCTCGCCGGATCGAGCTCATCCTTGCCGGATTTGGTGGTGGCCGCCACCATGTGCTTCATGCGGCCTCCAGCAGCGCGCCGGAGGAGAGAAGGTGAAGGGGACCGTGCCACCAAGTCCCGCCACAGCTAGAGCTCGACGGGAGGCCGTACCACCGAGCCACGGCACCGAGCTCCGCCACCGTGCCTCCGCTGGGGGGAGGGGACAGGGTCCCGCGCGCCGCCGGCGCAGGAGGAGGGGGACGGCCCCCCGCACAACTGCTGGCGTTGGAGGAGGGCACCGAGCCCCGCGCGACCACCGGGAGGCCGCACCCCAGAACCCTCGCCACCCTAGGGTGCGTCGCCGAGTGCCGCCGCGCGGAGAAGAGGGGGGTGCGACGCCGTGCACCTCCGCTGGAGAGGGAGGTCCCGTCACTGCGTGGGGGAGAGGGAGGGGCGGCGTGGGGGAGAGACAGAGGGGCTCGGAGGAGAGGGAGAGCGAGGGAGAGAGAGAGAGAGGGAGTCGAGACGGAGAGAGAGAGAGAGAGAGAGGAGGGCAGTAGATATTTTCGACGGGTGACTTAGTGACTGTACGTGGGGCATTTGTAGGGGTGGCTCAATCACCAGCCGCCCCTACAAATAGAAACACCGGGGGCGGCTGGTGAGTGAGCCGCCCCTACAAATCCTACCCATTTGTAGGGGCGGCTCGTATCACCAGCCGCCCCTGCTGTTTCATTTGTAGGGGCGGCTGGTCTCGTAGATACCGAGCACGTCACTGTAGGGGCGGCTCGATCACCAGCCGCCCCTAAAAAAAATTTGTCCCATTGCTACAAACCGTTTTTCACGTAGTGTAACTTAGTAGCTATGCTATAGCTTAGTTTTTTTATCTAGGTTTTTTTTTGGAGAACATGTCTGTTGACGTGTGTTTTATTAAGAGGAATTTTTTTTTTATCTAGGTCAGTAGCTATGCTGTACCGAAGGTAGAAAAATGTAGTGATCTACTACTCCAGAAGCATGAGGTAGCTACTAGCTAGCTAGAACTGACCAGGTGCGTTTTGTGGTACACGAAAGCATGCATGGATGAGTCTACTAGATGGGTCCGCCCAAAGCTGACCAGGAGGTCAGTCAGTATCTTGTTCGACTTCTTCGAGTAATCTGCTATGGCCCAGCCACGCAAACCCTTTCTAGCCAATATCGGTGAGAAGACCACTACACCACAACACCAAATCACCATCAGACATCTGACGCTAAATTTTTTTTTTATCGATAGATGATCTGACGTTAAAGATAACTCACAGACAATCTGACGCTAAATCCTCATTTAGCAATTTGCTGTCTGTCGTCATAGATACTCATATTTAACGTTTAACTGTCCGACGCTAAAATAAGGTCTACTGTCAATCTATTTGTCGCCAAAAATAAATGAACCCCACCCTCGCATGCATATTCAGCTCGCACACCCGTTTACATTCGTCTCGCGGGCAAATATTGGCCTGGTCACGAGTACAGAAACCTAGCCAAGTCCCAAATCCAGAAGCGCCCAACCTGCCCACGCGCCGCCGCCCTCTCCCTCTCCCAAATGGCGCCCGCCCGGCCAGCCCTAAATCTCACTGGATCTTCCCCCTCGCCCTCACCAACGGCGTCGAGCTCTCCTCCCCTCACCGACGGTGACCTCCTCTCCCCCTCGTGCTCCTCCGCATCTGGGGCGTCGTGCTGGGGCTCCCTGACGACACCGAGGAGGGGCGCACGGTGGAGCTCGCGAAGTCTCCTACCAGGCCGTCACCGGCAAGGGCTGGCCGTGCGCGCCCCTGTCCCCGGCGCCCACCCCTCCGGCACACACCATGGTGGAGACTAGACGGAGCTCCGCCGCCGCAGCCGCCGGGAAGCACCCCCCGAAGAGGACCAAGGCGAGAGCGCCCCCCCCCCCCCCGGGTCGCCGCCTCCCGATCTGACCTGTCGGCTAACCAATCTGAACCTTGCCCCTGACCAGGCGGAGTCCCGGGTCACCGACGGCGTTCGCGCCCGGGAGGGCCGGGGAGGATTCCGTGGCGGGAGCGGCATCCGCGAGGAGCTCTGGCTCGGCCAAGGATGCGGCGGCGGTGGCACAGAAAGGTGGGCGGCTTTCGGGCGTTTTGGGATCCTAGGGTTTGGTAGCTGCGGGTTTGGAATCGAGTTCATGGGGTTTTGATGCTTTGGTGCAGATCAAGGAGCGGATAAGCCTTCTTCCGCCGCAGCCGAGAGTTCGAAGAGGAGGAAGGAGCCGGAGCAACAGCAACCCGCAGCGCCATGGGCGAAGCTGCTCTCGCAGTGCTCACAGGTGCGGTGACCTGACAGCAACCCGCTGCAGCCGATTATTGGATAATCTTGGTGTATATGCTGTAGGAATCGAAGTTAAAGATTGCAATTTTTATGCTGGGCTTGGTAAAGATTCAATTTTTAAGACGTTAGGGGTGAAATTTTGGTCTTTGGATAGCATCTTGCTGTTTGTCTAGATTATTTAGCACGGAATATTACTACTCTTACTGTTTAGAGCTTGGTTCTGAGTACAACTTGGCAGCGTTCTAAAAGGTGCTTTCGGGAGGAGGGAAAAGGGGGTAACAGGGCTTACTAGGTTGGGCATATTAACTACCGTATATACTGTTTACTTGTGCTCTTTCAGTCAGCATATTCTCAATTTCTCATTAGGAACAGGGCCAAGCAATACTAGTTCCTGGTAGCATTTGTTTATGCCTAGGCTTTTGACTGTTGCAATTCATGGTACCAGATTGCCTGGTTTAAGCTTAGCTCCATTTAGGGCCTACTTTTAGCTGTTCAACGGGCATCTGATTTGGGATACATTGATATTTCTTTTTTCTGTTCTGTAGCTTGTAGGGAACTTGTCCAACATAGCCGCTACCTGTTTTCACCACATGTTCATATGTTCAAGGTTTTGTCATCAGTTAGTAAATAGTCACATGTATTGTAGACATGTATATTTAAGGTTACCTAGTTGGCTAAATCCGATCTGTTTGAAATCATTGTTGTTTGTCTTTGTTGACATGTCTTTCTGTAATGTTGATATCCTGAACTTTTAGAAATCAGTATCTACTTGACAGGATGCATCTTTTGAATTCCTTTGCAATTACCACTGGATCTATTGGTGCTACTTCAACTATTTAGTAGCTGGTCAAGGCCTCACATTTAAAGTAGCTTGTAGGTCAATCTTTGTTGGTTGTTTTTGTTAGCATATATGTTTTTTCTGTAGATGTTTATGATTTTAGTTCATAATGATAGAATAATGCATGAAACATTCTATTTTTGAATACTGATAGAAAACATATTTAAACTACAGACGTATGGTCAATCCTATTGAAGTATTCCATTTTATAAAACTTGATGTACCTCTTGTGGACAAAGAATCAAAGAACTAATCGATTAAATAGATGACGAAATAGATACTGAATTATTTTATGAATCCACTTAGCATGTGGAGTTCTGGCTGCAAATGATCCTTAATTTGCATTCCATGGTAATTCACTTTCTCAGTATCACAGTATCTATGTGGCATGTCTTTCCATTTTTCAGTACTGCCCTTACACTGTTGACAATGTCCATGTGATTTTTTTCATCTGGATAAACATAACACTTACTTCCTTATTTCTTAATGTGGATTGTTATGGTTTTAGATTTTTCTTAATAAATAATAAATTAATTATTGCTATCCTTTTCTTTTTGACATAGGCACTAAGGAGAATGCAGCGAGTTGGGATGAGACTTAATGTCTCTGCATATACTGTTGCTATTAAGGTTGGTTACTGGAGAACACCTTTTACTTGGTTAATGGGCACTTCTTTTTATTTATAGACTTATGGTCTGCCAGTAAGCTTTTCTACAATGTCCTCCAGCAATGTTTTTAAGGCGTCGCTTTGGCGTCGCCTAATCGCCAAGGCGCTCCAGGCCAGACGATTTGGCAGACGACTCGCCTCAAATTCGTATGGCGTCCGGAAAACGTCGCTTTGGCGTCCGATTCTTCCCAGATCGAGCAAGGCGGGCGCCATACGGGATGCTCGCGGCGGGAAAACGCGGGAGCGCGGGAGAAGGGATGGGGGAAAAGAGCAGTCCCGCGCGCAGAGATTAGGCGCGCGTGGAGAGAGGAGCGCGGGAGAAATCAGAGAGCAGAGAGAGGAGCGCTCGCGGGGAAGACGGACCTACCTGCTCGCCCGCGTGAACGCGTTCGCCCGCGCCGCCGGGAGAAGCTGCTGCCGGTGAGCCTCCGCCTCAAGAATAGGCTCCTCCCCCTCCCCTCTTCCCCATCCGCGTGAGGAGCAGCCGCCGGCGGGCTGCTGTTTCCCCGCCGTCTCCTCTGGTCCTCCATCGAGCAGGACACGAGCCGCTCCGCCTCCCCCTACCCTCTTCCCCATCCGCGCGACAGGCTGCTGTTTCCCCGCCTCCTCTGTTCCTCTTCCACTAGAGAGAGAGAGAGAGAGAGAGAGAGGTGGGCGGAGGCGGAGGGAACGGGAGGGAAGAGACAGAGAGATGGGCGGAGGCGGAAGCTGCGGCGGCGGCGCAGTGCAGGAGAGACCGAGAGAGATGAAGACATGCTAGGGCTACTAGGGTGAGGGCCACATGGGCTGCTTGGTGCACGTGGGCTGGGCTTCTTACTCCTCCTTTCTTTTTCTTTTTTTCCTTTCCTTTTTTCTAAATTTCCTTTAGTCGGTAAGGCGTCGCCTCGCCTTACGCCTTACTCGCCTAAGCGTAAGGCGGTAGGCACTCGCCACGCCTCGCCTTACCGCCTTGAAAACATTGTCCTCCAGGCATGTGTTGAAAACAAAGATTTGTAGTTAGCACTGCACTTGTTTGAAGAAATGAAAACACACCAACTGAAGCCCAATTTGGTGAGTTTTATCTAAAATTTAGGTACAAAGCTTTGATGCTTTGCTTTTCCTTAACTAAAAGATTTGATGCTTCCTGATGTAACATTTATTGTTTGGCCCATGAGCTATTTGGCACCTGGCATCATTTAAGGTTCGTATGAAAGCTTAGGCTTTATATCGTACTAATGTGTTGTTAATTTCATCCAGAGTGGCTTGTGCCTGTTGCTGACTGCTAAATGCTTCGGATGCATGCATAATTTATTGGTGTCAAGTTATTTGGGTTGATTAGTTGAATATCCTCTGCTGCTTGTTGATGTTAGACATTATGATATGAAACATGGCATAGTCAATGGTTTACTCTACATCAACCTGCAAAAATTCCATCGATGTAAATTGCATTTGACATAGTAGTTCATTTTCAGGTGACGTACAAAACTCTCCTGGCAGCACGCAGCAATTATGGATCACTACAGGAGGTCCAGCAATGTTTAGCAATATATCAGGAAATGAGGAAAGCAAGGTATGTGACTAGAACGATAATATGCTGTTTCTTTGATACTTTTGAAGTCAGTACAAGTGCTTTTTCCTCGACAGCACTAGTGACAAATTGTAAAAACCTAGTGACTAAATTGTAAAACCTAGTGACTAAATTCAGCATATAGAAATATATTTGGAAGACAATTACTAACATTCTGTTCCATCCTCAAGTAATGATTTAACTCATTGTTGTATGCCTGTACTACTATAGAAGTGATGATTTCAGAACATAGGACAGCTAAGAACCAGCAATGGACTAGAGTTTTGATTACTGTTAGGCACAAACCAGAGGCATGTTTCTCTTAGTTGATGGGATAATTTACTGCTGAAATTTAAACTTGACTGAAAGTTAAATTGGTTAGAGGCATTTGTCGCACTTAGGCGCAAATGAGGCCTAGTGCTTTAAATGATAACTCATACTGTACTTCAGTTTTACATAACTTCTCCACTTGGTGGTGCAAATGAGGCCTACAGAAGTTGTTTAGTTAAATTGAATCATTGGTGGTGCGATCTTTTGCAGAGTTTATGTCTAAAGAAGAATCATTGGTGGTCCAGGACCAGCAAGATGATGGTGGTATCAAGATCAGCCATGTACGCCACTTGTCTATAGGATCAACCAAGTCAGCACTAGAATGGGATATTCTACAGAAGCACAAATCAGTAAGAACATTAATTATAAATAAAAGAATTAATGTTCGGCCTAGTGACTCATTTGGGAGATTGTCTACCCTAAGAGTGCTTTTTATAAGGGGTACTGATTGTGATAGATTGGTTGACTATATGTCAGCTTAGGCACGTCATTCCTTTTGGCTTTTGAGTTTCTAGAATGATTGTGTGCACAAACCTTAGGATGTGAAACACAAAGTACTAGTATTGTTTCCTGAGGAGTACATTCATGTAATTCTTTTGGTGGTTGACTTTGCTGGATATGATGTACACAAACATATGGTGTACAAGACAAATTTATTTGGTGCTTGACTTTGATGGATGTGATGTACAAGATAAATTGGATGTTATATGTATTGAGCTGCATGTGATATGTGTTTGTGTATCTTCATGTGACATGTGGACACTATATGAGCATTGAATATCGTTCTGATATGTGTTAAAAATTGTATTTTTTTTTCTATATTAAATTGTTTTGTTGAATGGCCTGTCGCCATAAATGTATGGAGTGTTGGATGATCTGACGGTGAATGTGTGGTAACAGATTATCTGTCGCTAAAGAGTGGCAACATGTTATCTGTCGCTAAAAAAATTCAGGGCACCTGAACTGTCTGACGCTAAAAGTATTGTCTGACGTTAAAGATTTTTAGCGTCAGGACTTACAGCGTCAGCAGAAGTCTGTCGCTATAACTTTTTAGCGTCAGATTGTCTTTTTAGCGTCAGATTGTCTATCGCTCTTGCCGCTTTTAGCGTTGACCGTCCATCGTTAATCTTAGTGTTGTGGTGTACGCAAAGTGCTCACTACTCAGGCCATTAACCAACAAGGACTGATCGAGACCACATGTGCATGCAGGGTCGTCGGTCCAGCAAATATTCTCACTGGCTGGAGATCATATTTTCGTCGGTCAATATCAGTAGCACCGTACCCATGGTACGACGGACGTAGGTAGCTGCACGATCTAGGATTACCATGAACTCTAGTGCTTGTCGATTGCATGCATTTCCTTCGGTCGTCACGTGTGGTTAGAAAACAGAGAACAAATTTTGCTTCTGAGTAGACATGTACTCCCTGTGTCCCGTATTGTCATTATGCAATTTATGCTGGTCAAACTTTATTAAATTTGATTAGTTTTCTAGAAAATAATAACATTTGTATATATAAATAAGTCTATTATGAAAATAAGTTAGGATGTGTTTTTTGCTGTTCTGGTTGGAGTGTGGTGCTTGCTTGTAAACTGGTAACCCAGTGCAGGATCGGGGTTCAAACTTAGGGCACGTTCGTTTCACACGGAATGGAGCGTCGGCACGGATCCGGCCACGAACGTTGACGTATTTTATACGGGCCACCCACCACCAGGAAGTGATTTGGCCGGGAATCAGACGAAACGAACGGGCCCTTAAGCTTCCTTAGGGCACTCACAAGACAAAAACTAAGACCAGTTTCTATAGCATATGATACTGTATCCAGAAATCATCCTTCACGATGCAACTTTTTAATCTTTGGGTCTAGATTAAAGTCTGAACAACAATCCACCGGATCCTCTGCTCCATGGGTCTCGTGCACCACGGACAGAAGGCGCAAGGCAGAATGCTCGTCGATTGCTAGTGGCTCTCAATCGCTCGACGCCTAAACCGCACAAGTGCTGAGCATGGCAGTGGCCCTCTGGCGTGAAGGACTGAAGGCACAAGCGTGTCACCCTCGCCATGCGTCACGTGTGCCCGGTGGTTGCGGCCGTGGAACGCGACGCGGCAGATCAGCTCCGCGCGGAGGTGGCTGAGCTGGAGCGCGCCCTCTCCTGCTACGCCGAGCTTGAGGAGCGGCTTCGCCGAGCTGCAACGCCGATGGAGTCATGAAGCCATGGCGGCACCTGTGCCGCGCGCAGGAACACGACCTCGCGGGCGCTGCGGTGCATGGCGACGGAGCCCCGGGCTTGGCCAACTATGGACGAGGTTCCACGAGAGCTGCGACGGGGGGCCGCGAGCTCCACAGGCGGCGGCACGGACAGCTGCGCGTGAGCCGGGGCAGACACGACCGCGGGCTCCGTCGGGCAGGTTCCCCACGAGCTCCGCCGGGCGGTCGCGACTTCCGATGGCGGCGGCGACGGACGGCCGTGCGCGAGCCGGGGCGGACGCAGCCGCGAGCTCCGTCGATCCGCGCTCCGCGGCGGCGACGAGCCAGTACGGGGCAGCCACGACGGGCCGGACAGGGCAGCGGTGCTCCTATTCCTCTCCTGCGTGCGCTTCTTCACCGGCGCGGGGCTCCGCGGGCGGGCGCGTGGGAACCGGGCTCCACGGCCGCAGCGAGCCGGGACGGGGCAGCCACGGCAGGCCAGACACGTCGGAGGTGGCCGCGCAAGGCTCCGAGCCGGCGGCGCGCGGGAACTTGGGTGGCGGCGATGGGGAGGGAAGGGGAAGGCGCACCGGATCCATGGAAACGATCAACGTCTTCCACAACGCGCACGGAGATGGTTTCTTCGGCATCGGTTGAAGCGTAGACTCGGAGTCTATCTTATCTTAGACGTCGTTTCATGTGTTTTCCCTCTCTTTTTTCCATAAATACAATGTCACGTCAGCAAAAGTCAATAAATAGATATGTAATTAATAGCCATAAAAACTAGAGAAAATGGGTTACGTAGCATCGAAAGATCGCGATCTTCGTAAAATACTATTTAAAGTTTGCGTGTTCATAAAATACCACTGAAAGATTGAACCTTTAAACAAAAATAGCATTATGTTAAAATAAAGTGACAGAACTAAAAGCCTCCGTCACGCCGTCATGCTAGTACGGGATGTTCTTGTGATGCTCACCACGAACAGGCAGCATCCTTAGGTTGTGCTTGCGCATGTCCTTGCCGTCCCGGCTCTCGCCCCGCCCCGTCCTGCCCCGCGTTGACGCCTCTCCCCGATCCCGATCTATGTGCCTCTCCCCGATCCCCGATCCCGATCTGGTCCCGTTCGCTTCGCTGAAAAAATAAGCCGAAACACGGTTCCCGCTGATTTGTTGTGAGAAAAAAACACTGTTCCGGCTGAAAAAAACAAGCTAAAAAAGACGGATTATAAGAGAAACGAACATGGCCTCTATGTTCTTGTGATAGAGGCTATCGGTGCGAAAAGTGAACAACAAGTAAATATTTGTAGTTTTACCATACGTTGTGATCAGATGTGGCCTAGTACTCAATGACACAGGGTTTATACTGGTTTAGACAACGTGCCCTACGTCCAGTTTCAGTTGGTCGGTGACTTTATTCCTGAGCCCAGGTGCTCGAAGTTTGCTGTGGGGTTACAAATGAGTGGGAATAAGAAGGGGGTGTTAAAGGTCCGGTCGGGCTCTGGACCGACGTGCCAAGAGTGACGGGAGCTTCTATGTGCGCTAAGTATTAGGACGTATGCTCTGTATAGTTTTAGAGTTCTAGAGCCGTGGAGCTGTTCGAGTGCTTAGAATATCTAGAGCTTAGCATAGAGGGAGTCAGAATGATCCTCCTTTTGTTGGGAGAGAGCGCATCTCTTTTTATAGGTGAAAGGGATGGCCTTACAAGTGAGAGAGAGTGTGTGCTCGTGTTTTACTCAGTCTTGTTGTCCACGCTGTCAGGTACAAGACGGTCGTCGACGCCCATAATACTGTTTATGTTAGACGCGTGTGGCAGGCTTTACCGTGTTCGCCTGGTATGGCAAATGAGGGCGCCCACAACACTGTAAGACAAACACCGGCACCCATAACACTGTTCAGGTTCTGACATGCCTGGAAGGTTGCAAAGCACCCTTCTGGCATGGCCTGGCAGTACTGTCCTGCAGATGTGCAGGGTACGGTCCTCGGTATTACGGTTGACTTGAGCGCCTTGCCTTATCTGCTTCGCCTGATTCTTAGGTCCTCACCGAGCTGGCGTCCCCGGTCGGTTGTTCCTAGTCGGCTCCTACCGCGCCGGTCGGAGAAGAGCTGTAAGCGGAGGTTCAGTGTATTCCCGGTCGAAAAAGCGGGTCAGAGTCGGAAACGAGTGTTGTCCCCTCCTGGGCCAGGCCTTCCGGTCGGAGACTGGATTGCTCTTCCGGTCTGTCGTTAGGTATCTGGGCCGGCCCAGAAGTCACGCGTTTGTTGTAATGCCGTCTTTTAGGCCAAGCTTTTGCTAGGAAGCGGGCCCATTGGAGACCCTGGGTTTATGAACCCAACAGGAGCCCCCGAGCCCTTTTGGGACTTCTATGAAGTCGTGAAGGAGCTGTTTATACTCGTTGTGTGAGAGCAACGGATGGGTGTAAGATCGTGAGTCGCCATTGGGCGCGATGGAGCGCGGACCCATGCATCGGGCGCGGCCAAGGGGTCGAGCGTGACGGAGTATGGACCCAGGGTCGGACCGACGAACCAGCATGCTGATCAGCGGTCGTACAGGGTGTAGGCAGCATAGTGACCATGTGTCCATCACTGTGGGTCGATGTGAGTCCCCTAGAACGTCATGTCACGGAGATGGGTCATGCTGAGACGCGACCGCTCCCTGCATGATGCTTGAAGTTTGACCTAGGGTTGTACTTTCTGGCACGTAGTGGTTGGCGGCAACACGAGCTTCCATTAGGGACCGTGTCCGAGGGATCGGGCGAAGCGGGGCCAACCCTCAGACATTGGTCGAGCCGGAGCCAACCTTTGGGAGTCGAACGAGGCGGAGCCTAGCAAGGCGTATGGCCTTGGTGGTCCTAGAAATCGTTTGGGGAATTTTTTTGACTTGCCAGCGGGTGCGTGCGAGCGCACCCAACGGGTGTAACTCTCGAGCCCCCGAGCGATTCGGGTAGAATCGCCTAGGGGATTTTTTGACTTGCCAACGTTCTGAGCCATCGTTTCTGGGAGTGCAGACCTAGGCGTCAGGCCCCAACCCAAACATTGGGCACGGCTGGGGGTCGGGCGCGACAGAGCGTGAACCCAAGTGCTGGGCGTGGCCGAGGGGTTGGTCAAGTTTTGTG